GAGCAGAATACCCACAGAGAAGTTACCTACATGTACCACTAATTTGGAAAAGTCTTCAAAAGCTACCCTGGCCTTTCTCAGCAGCCCAGAGCTGAGCTCTCTCCCCTATGGAGCACAAATCCGTTTTGAACCTGCCTGGATCCAAATATTTGCAACAGTCATCTACATATGCATGGAAAAAACAGCTCCCTGTGCCTCCTTTCCACTTTCCTGGAGGAAAACAAACTTATCCTGGGCCCATTGGAATGGCTTCATTCCCACTGCCTCTGAGAGGGTTAGGAAATGAACTGACCCCAGGCTGGTTGAGGGGCCTTGAGGGATGTCCAGTTTGGGCTTCTCAGGAAGACGCACATTCCTCATGGATGTTGTCATGTCTGCATGTAATCCCAATGATGTGTCCACTGAGCCCACACATTACCCTTCCCTGGAACCATTTACCCTGGTCTTCTCTATCCAGCATGATAATAAAAGACCTCATTGATCAACCCAGCTTAATTTTGGGGGTTGGGGTGGGGTAGGTTGAAAAAAGAAGCAGGTAGAGTGGGGGAAGGCTGATACAGGGCACCTGACAACATCTACCTCGGGGTATAAAAGGAACATAGGGAATTGCTCTATGATCTTTTGTGGCCCACTTCGCATTGCATTTGAAGGACTGGGAAAAACTGAAGGGCTCATAAAGTAAATATAGTGGCCTGTGTTTCAGAGATACCTGAAGGCCCAGAGCTTACCCTGAAGAAGGAGGATGTTAGCCTGCAACATTAGAATGGTCTATTGGATTAGAGGGCAGGTCCCTAGTTCACAGAGAGAACTCTGGGTTCCCCCATGTGAGGAGAAGCTGTCTTCTGGTTCCTAATAAGGGGATATGACCCTGGGAGGCCAGTAGAGGCCTAGTGAATACTGTATCCACCTAGTGGATAGAGAAACACTGGGTGTGAAGTAATAGGGAGTTGGGGAGACTAGGAAACTATAGGCCCATGCCATTGGGGATAAGGAGTAACCACAGTTCTCCATTAACTGTGGCTCTGCAGGTGAGGCACGTATAACTTAATCTGAGACCCACAGGGGCCATTTGGGAAGCCATCATTAGTACAGAAACACTGGCTGTGGAGAAGAAGACTAGTAAACTAGGGGGAACTTGGCTGTTCTAAAGGTACATCAGAAAATTCCAGGTGACTGGCCAAGTGAGATAAGAGTGCAGAACTACTACTACCACCACCTCCTCCTCCTCCTCCTCCTCCTCCTCCTCTTCCTCCTCTTCCTCCTCCTCTCTTCCTCCTCCTCTTCTTCTTCCTTCTTCTTCCTCCTCTTCCTTCTTCCTCCTCTTCCTCTTGTTCCTTATTCCTTCTTCTTCCTCCTCTTCCTTCTTCCTTCTTCCTCCTCTTCCTCTTCTTCCTCCTCCTCTTCTTCTTCTTCTTTCTTCCTCTTCTTTCTTCTTCTTCTTCTTCGTCTTCTTCTTCTTCTTCTCATCCCCTCCCCCTCCTCCTCCTCTTCTTCTTCTTTTAATGTTTATTCATTTTTGAGAGAGAGCACAAGCCAGGGAGAGGCAGAGAGGGAGCCGCAGAATCTGAAACAAGCTCCAAGCTCTGAGCTATCAGCACAGAGCCCAACAAGGGGCTCAAACCCACAAACCGTGAGATCATGACCTGAGCCAAAGTTGGGTGCTTAACCAACCAAGCCACCCAGGTGCCCCAAGGGTGCAGAACTTCTTAAGATCCGCAGACCTGTGTAGCACCCATAATGCAAATCCAAATAAGTGTTTTATGAATTCCTATATTCTTCCTGAGCTGTTCACCTCATGGCTGTCACCACACAAGAACTCTGACATTGAGAGGATAGAGCTCATGGTCTGGAGAGTGGTTTATGTGAATAACCAGAGTTTCTAGAAGATTGCATAGTCATGGCCTTCATTACCCCATTTCGGGTAGCCACCAAGGAAGTCTGTCCTTTTTAAGGGATGGGGAGACAACATGGTTGAATTAATATGGGTTTCTTAGATGTCTTGGCTTTCCAAGAAGAGCCAGATATGCAGATTTTTATGTGGCTTTTGGTTTTATGTTAGAAGCCATTTGAAAAAACATTTTGGTACAAAAGCAGTTTGACAAAACATGTATATGGGCTATATACATTCCCCTGTGTCCTTCCATGAGACCTGGGGGGAGAAAGACCTGGAGTTTTCTGACATGAGAGGCTTCAGCATGCAGTATCCATCCATAGTGCTTGGTGGATGAGAAGGCATTGTTGCTGCCTCCTCTTCGCGGTGACTTTTCCTAAAAGCCTAAAGGAAACAAGGAATGATAGCCACATCAGAGGCAGAACCCAAGACAGGCTTGCAGTCATCAAAATTTGCAGTAGGGCTGCTCAAGTACTCTCCAGCAGAGATGTTTGGGGGAATCCCACTCTGCTCAGACCTTCCTTCCTGGATGTAAGAATTATCTTTAATCAACATGGAGAACTCATGTGAGATCAGAGTTAAAGGCCAACTGAGCCACAAGAGGATCAAGCCTTCCAAGCAAATGGGGTAGGATAGACACTGGTCATCTCAATCCTTTGTACACTGTGTGGATGGCCATGGTTAGATTTCATAAATGGCCCCCAATTCATGGGTGAAGAATTCTTCTGTGGGTGAAGAACCTTCCTTAGAACAGCCTGGTCTCCTACTGGGGCTCAGTACACAGCAGCCAGTCTGTTGGAGAAGGAAGATTTTTGCCAGCGATGCCAGAACACTCCAGGCAAAGGCCTCATGGCCCTAACCTTATAGCTGTTCTGGATACCAGCCTATATGGGGCCTAGCAGTTACAGTGCTTTCAGTCCATTGTCAATCCACCGACACTGCACATTCTGCCCTCACTAGTGATAGCTCTTCTCTGAGCTCTGTCCAGTAGCAGTTCCCTGAATTTGGACCTTTGCCTGTGACCTCCCCCATGAGGGACACCCTCTGTAGTCTTCTCAACCTCTCCCAACTTTTCCTCTCCTCTAAGTCTGCTGTAATTTTCCTCCTCCAATTTGGTGTTAGCTTCTCTCTTTGATGCCTGAACCTTTGGCCTGATGCCAGCCCTCTGCTACCCTTATGTTTTCTTACATGGTTGTACCCACAGGTGCAAATGTTTCAAACCTCAAGGGTATATTTGTCTTTCTGAAATCATTGATCTTGAAGACTAGTGCTAAACAAGGTGTTCTTATCATTTTAAAGGTCACATGACTTAGCTTGGGCTGCAATAACAAAATACCATAGACTGAGTGGTTTAAACAACAGATACTTATTTTCTTATAGTTCTGGAGGCTGGAAGTCAGAGATCAGAGTGCCAGCATGTTTGGGTTCTGGTGATGACCCTCTCTGTGGCTTGCTTTCTTGCTGTGTCCTCACATGGTGGAGAGAGAGGAGAGTGTGACCTTTCTTCCTCTTCTCACAAAGGCACCAATCCCATTATGGAGCACCACCCTCATGAACTCATCTAAAACTAATTATGTCCCAGGGGCACCTGGGTGGCTCAGTGGCTTAAGGGCCCAACTTCAGCTCAGGTCATGTGCTTAGGTCATGATCTCATGGTTTGTGGGTTCAAGCCCCACATTGGGCTCTATGCTGACAGCTCAGAGCCTGAAGCCTGCTTTGGATTCTGTGTCTCCTTCTCTCTCTCTGCCCCTCCCCCACTCGAGCTCTGTCTCTCTGTTTCTCTCTCTCTCTCTCTCAAAAATAAATAAACATTATGGGGGTGCCTGGGTGGCTCAGTCGGTTGGGCATCCAACTTTAGCTCAGGTCATGATCTCACGGTTTGTGGGTTCAAGCCCTGCATTGGGCTCTGTGCTGACAGCTTGGAGCCTGGAGCCTGCTTTGGATTCTGTGTCTCCCTCTTTCTCTGCCCCTCCTCACTCACACTTCATCTCTCTCTCTCCTTCACATATATATAAACATTAAAAAATTTTTTTAATTAAAATAAATAAAAAACATTAAAAAATAAATAAATAAACCTAATTATGTCCCAGAGCCCTCTTGTCTAGATACCATCACTGGGATTAGGGCTTAAACATATGAAGTTTGGGGACATGCAGACATTCAGTCCATAACATCTATGGAAGGAAAGTGATTCTTTATGACCAGTATATGAAGTGCTAAGTCTTCAGGGTCACAGGACACAGTGTCAGTTTTATAGAATAAAACCAGTTGGTGACAGTAGTGAATATTAACACAAGGCGTGCCTGGGTAGCTGAGTCAGTTGAGCATCTGACTTTGGTTCAGGTCATGATATCAGGGTTCATGAGTTTGAGGCCCGCATCAGGATCTCTGCTGTCAGTGCAGAGCTCGCTTTGGATCCTTCTCTCCCCCCTCTCTCTGCCCCTCCCCTGCTCTCACTCTCGCGTGCTCTCTCAAAAACAAAACAAAACAAACCAAGAATATTAATGTTTATTATTTATTTTTCAGAGACAGAGTGTGAGCAGAGAAGGGGCAGAGAGAGAGGGAGACACAGAATCCGAAGCAGGCTCCAGGCCCAATGCGGGGCTCGAACTCACAGGCTGTGAGATCATGACCTGAGCTGAAGTCAGACACTTAACCGACTGAGCCACCTAGGGATGCCTGCTCCTTCATTTTATGAAGGGAAGGATAATAGCACAAATTACTTTTGTCTGGCATCCTCCACATTTAATAATTTGAAAGCACTTTTATCTACCAAATTGCAGATCAAAGAAAAAGTTAAAATTGACAAAATGAAGATGCCACCTTCTTAATTTTATTATAAAAGTAAAATGTTTCAATGATTTATCAATTTATAAGAAAAAGACTCAATTTTTAGCACAAAATATAGAAAACAGCCTTCACAGATATTTGGCTGCCAGGATTCTAAATATAAATGATTTTGCTGAAGGGCGCCTGGGTGGCTCAGTCCGTTAAGCTCCCGGCTTCTGCTCAGGTCATGATCTCACGGTCCATGAGTTTGAGCCCTGCATCAGGTTCTGTGCGGACAGCACAGGCCTGGAGCCTGTTTTGGATTCTGTGTCTCCCTCTTTCTCTGCCCCTCCCCTGCTAATGCTCTGTCTCTCTCTGTCTCAAAAATAAATAAAAACATTTTTAAAAATTTTAAAAAACAAATGATCTTGCTGAAAGCAGACAATTTCTAGTAAGTGTTATGAGAAGAATTAAAGAACATAGTGATATATTGGGGTACCCATGGTGTCTTAACCTTTTATGTATCACTTTTCTCACTATAGCAGCTTGAATCCAGCAACTTTCTTCCCCAACTTGAAGGGGAGAAACCTCTCCACTATTTGGACTCTGTTAGAACATTAACTACATCTTTGTAAAAGGAGATTTCAAAATGGAGCAAACAAGACTGGCTAAAAGGTCTCTTTTTAAAATAGAGTCAGGTGGTGGGGGGATGTGGGGGGGGGGGGTTACTCACAGAGCTGGATGTCCTGGTAGACCTGATGTGAAATTCCTGTGGAACAACAACACTTAAATGGTTTGCTAGGATTATTTACGTATTGAAAGTTTCTAGTTATGCTTTTCTAAAATTAATTAATTATTTTTAATTTATTTAAATCCAAGTTAGTTAACAGTGTAATAATGGTTTAAGGAGTAGAATTTAGTGATTCCTCAGTTACACATAACACCCAGTGCTCATCCCAACAAGTGCCCTCTTTAATGCCCATCGCCCATCTAGCCCATCCCAACCCACCTCTCTATAATTATGCTTTAAAAAAAATACTAAAAATAAAGGTTCAAGCTGCCAAAATACATCACATAATTAATTGATTAAATTAAATTAAACAGGGTCAGGCATAAGGGAGGAGAAACTTATGCACATCCTCACTGGGGAAACCATGAACTTAAATTTTTTTTTTTTTTTTTTTTAGTCAGCTGTAAGCTCTCAGCCTGGACTTAATTTACTCCTCACCATGACACCTGAATCATCCACATTTTCTTCACTTCAAAAAAAGCCAATGTGATTTAATAAGTTTCAATCCCTCATTTGCATATTAACTCTACCAATCTCAGTTAACCTAATTTAAATCCCTGTTTGTCTAGAGGAACTGAACATTTACTACACTCCTACCTAGCTTTTTGCCTGTATAACTCTACCCCTTCTTTGTCTTCTTTAGGATCCAATTCAAGTTTATACCTGAGTCTGTGTCTCCCAAATTGGAATTCTCATTGCTCAAGTATATGCTTATTTTCTTAAATTTTCAGTGAATTTTTGTTGGTAGACATCTTGTACACAACTTTTTTTTTTTTTACATTTTTAATTTATTTTTGATAGAGAGAGACATAGCACAAGTGGGGAGGGGCAGAGAGAGAGGGAGACACAGATCCGAAGCAGGCTCTACACTCGGAGCTGACAGCACAGAGCCTGATGCAGGGCTGGAACTCACAAACCGCGAGATAATGACCTGAGCCGAAATTGGATGTTTAACCAACTGAGCCACCCAGGCACCTTGAATTTTTTTTTTTTAATGTTTACTTTTGAGAGAGAGAGCGCGCGAGTAGGAGAAGGGCAGAGAGAAGAGGAGACAGAGAATCTCAAGCAGGCTCTGTGATGACAGCAGCGAGCCCCATGTGGGGTGAACCATGAGATCATGACCTGAGCTGAAGTCGGACTGATGCTCAACAGACTGAGCCATTAGGCACCGCCCCCCACCATCCACCTTTTTAAAGTTTAATTATTTATTGTGAGAGAGAGAGTGCACGCAAGTGGGGGAAAGGCAGAGAGAGAGAGAGAGAGAGAGAGAGAGAGAGAGAGAGAGAATCCCAAGTAGGCTCCACACCATCAGCACCATCAGCACCCAGCCCCATGTGGGGCTGGAACTCACAAACCAAACTGTGACATCACAACCTGAGATGAAATCAGGAGTCAGACACTTAACCGACTGAGTCACCCAGGTGCCCCCAGAACTTTTTTAGACTCTTTTGTATAACCTCATTTATTTTTTTCTTGATTGTTTATACTTAAAACAGAAGCCGACGTTTGCCCAGAAGGCTATCACAGATCATTCATTTTTAGAAAATAAGTCTTGGGGCACCTGGGTAGCTCAGTTGGTTAAGCGTCCGACTTCGGCTCAGGTCATGATCTCACGGGTCGTGGGCTCGAGCCCCTCATCAGGCTCTATGCTGACAGCTCAGAGCCTGGAGCCTGTTTCAGATTCTGTGTCTCCCTCTCTCTCTGCGCCCCCCCCCCCACTTGTGCTCGGTCTCTGTCTCAAAAATAAATAAACATTAAAAAAAAAAGTCTTTCCCAGAAATTCAGTTCACATTGATGAATTAATTGCCTTCATCCACACCTGCCAGTAGACAAATAACGAGAAAAAATAGTAATACTGATAGTATGTATGCTTTGAGGCATGACTTCAGTATGATTTGGAAAATGCTCTACTTATGGACCTCTATAGGAACCCATATAAATAAGAGACCATTACAGAACTTTTGATGCTCTGCTACAACTAAGGAGGTAGCTGTAATAAAAAGTGGACTTTTGCAAAACTGTTTCATGATATTACCTATAATGCAGAGTACCAGCAAAAATGGATTTATTCAGTAATAGCAGAGAATTACGATTGATTAGAGCAAGCTGTGACAAAACTTTATCCAATTCTGGAGATCAAAGGAAAGGAGGCTTTTTTATATAAGAAAGGAGAAGTTAGGAGGGGCTGTTGTAAACCAAAATTCCATTGGGGTAAACTGGGAGCTCAAAGGTGTAGTGTCTTCTCATTGGCTGGATTGTTTTGTTGTGTTTTTTTTCTCATTGACTGGATTGTGACTGTCTCTCATGTCTCTCTTAGGCTGGGCTTTTGCCAGTGTCAGGAAGGAAATCCTCCTTTCTTCTGCTGGAATGATGAACTACCGGTTTCTTCCTGTTGGGTCTGCCATTGATGACAGTGGTAGGGCATGAGGGTCCTCTTCCTACCTCCCAAGTCCATTTTATAAGGTTTCCTTTATAAATGTTCATATTTACCCCTTTTGATCAAGATCTTTCCTTAAAAGCATCACAGATCAAGGATCAGATTTTAGTGGTTTTGTCACTCAGTGCCAGAAAAAGGACCTTTCCTGGTTGTCATGTCCTAAGTTGGAGGGAAAGTGGAAACCAGTTGGAAACCACTTAAGGCCACATTTGAGTTAACATGGAAGGTTAGGAGAGAGAACTCCCAGACACTTCCCATCTATAATATAAATTTACCAAGATCATAAATATTGGAGATCATCTCTTTATTGGGTACATCATTCTTATAAAAGTTTGACCAGCAATGATATACAAAACTTAAAATTATTAAGTTTACAAAACAGAGGAAGTAACGTGATAATTCCAAATTGTATGATAGTTCTAAACCAGGACCTTAGGTCTGAAAGTAGCCAATTGAAATACTTATTGGCACTCTTTCTGACTCAGGGGAGTAAAGCTCTCACTATGGAGGCATACCTGGAGTGTGTATCCTCCTGGAAGTCTCCAATTAAGAGAGGCCATGAAAACAGAAGAGTGAATACTGCAGGAGCACATTGAAAGAACTAACCAAGTGAATTTGGTAAGATACAGTGCAAGTATAAACATGAAGCAATAGTTGATCAACTTTTTGCAAAACAGCAAAGTTTCAAAGATGTTTTAAAACAGTATCATCATCTCAAAAGAACTGTGTGGAACCAAATATGTTATTGATAATACAGCCTATAAACTTTAAATTCAAAAACCATGAATTTCAGTAAGAATCTCTGAATATCGGTTAATAGTTCATATTAAAGAAAGATTTTGTGAAGGGATGCCTGGGTGGCTCAGTCAGTTAAGGATCTGACTTAAGATTTCAGGTCATGATCTTACAGCTCATAAGTCTAAGCCCCACATCAGGCTCTATGCTGCCAGCTCAGGGCCTGCTTGGGATTCTGTTTCCCTCTCTCTCTGCCCCTTGCCCCCTCAAAATAAAAAACTAAACTTAAAAAAAAAATATATGTGTGTGTGTGTGTGTGTGTGTATATACATATATATGTGTGTGTATACATTTTTAATATATATATTAAATATAAATTTTTGTGAATTCTGAAGCTTCTAACCCTTCAGAAAAAGCAAGAGAAAAATTAATTTGTCACAGGATCACAATGAGGCTGTTTCCAAAAGGCCATAGTCAAAAAAAGAGGTTTCCCCTTTCGTGAGGGCTTAGAAAATGCAGACAGGGGTCCTTTCTTCCCATAAAAGGGAGAGAAGAAGCAACAGTGAGAAAAAATGCATGCAAGATCCAAACATCTTGGGAAAGTTGTCTCATCAGATGTTGTCTGCTTCACTTTGGGAAATCTTTACTTTCAGATTAATAGATGGTGTGCAGGTCCAGTCGGGTTTGGTTATTTCTTTAGCTCCATCATGTAAATCCAAGAGTCTATTGCCTGGAGTTTGGTGGCACAAGACTTGGTGTGAAGTTCCTGATAAAGGCCTTTCCAGTGAGGCAGTAGAGTTTTCTGGAGCAGTCTTTTCCTGGTTGTAAGGTGTGATGCTTAAGGTCATTGTCTTCCAGGAGTGCACTGTGAAAAGATGGCTCTACCGAAGCATGGTTACTTTTAATAGAACCAACTAGGCTTTTACAATATTGTAGTATATGTTCTTTGTTCTTTTATCAACTGTGGATCAAAGGAGGCATGGCCAAATGCATTGGCCATCCTGTGACTATCTCAAAGGGTGAGTCTGTGTTCCCAAAGGGGTGGATCTGAGGTTTAGAAGGACTAACAACTATGCTTTCAGCCAAAATATTTGGAAGACCTCTGTAAATTTTGCCAAATGACTCTTTTTTAAAGCATATTTATTCATTTTGAGAGAGAGCATTGTCAGCACTGAGCTCAACATGGGGCTCAACCCACAAATCGTGAGATCATGACCTGAGCTGAAATCAAGTCAGAGGTTTAACCGACTGAGCCACTCAGACTCCCTACCAATTGAGTCTTAACCATGCTGTTAGTGCATTCAGTTAACCCTGAGGATTGAAGATGGTATGCTAATGAAAGTTTTGTAAAACCAGCTAAACAGTGCAGAGTTGTCAAAGCACCTGTCCAGTGAAATGGGTTCCCCTCGCACTATAGAGTTGGAGAGGGATTTTCCCAGGTAGGGATAATCTCTTCTGAAACAATTTTAGCCATGGTAGAATGACTGACCTGTCTACAAGGGAAAGCTTTGATCCAGTGAGAAAACATACAAACCATGATTAAAATATATTTATATCCACAAGATGGGGAAGCTGTATGAAATCCATTTTTTTAACAGGTTTCCCTGGATTATACTTTGGACAGATGGGATGAGTGAGGTAGGTACTTTGTGAGACCTTATTAATATTTCCCAACCAAAACTGGTTCATGAATGTTGTCATTTTCTCAGTAAACCAATGGTTTGATGCATGTACAGTTGTAAGTAGGGAGAATTTTAGAATTTCTGGTAGAGCTGGATTGTTATTTGCTCCAAACCAAAGTTCTCTATTACTATTGAACCAACAATTATTAGATTTTCAATACTGTTTTTCCTTTGGGTGTTTCTGATCATTCCTCGCCACCCAAATTATCACTTGGGATAACATCTCTTTGGACCAAGACAGAGGTTTGGCTACTGGCCTCCTTGCAAGCAGCATTTTTGGTGGAAATATCAGTGAGGTGCTTTCTTTTGGCCTCCAGGGAGTTGAGTGTGGAATGCCTGGAAAGCTTAATAATATCCAGAGCAGCTGGCAAAGGTATTGCATCTAATAAAATTTGGACATAGGAGTCATTTTTAATTTTATCCCCATTGGAAGTAGGGATATATTGTTGTTTCCATAATATTCAAAAGTCATGATTTACCCCAAAGGAATACTGACCATGGGTATAAATGTTTGCAGTTTTACCCTTGACTAAGGGTACACAAAATACACACACACAATTAACATAAAAATACACAAAAATAAACTCAAAATGGATGACCTAAATATGAGACAGGAAACCATGAAAACCCTAGAGGAGAAAACAGGCAACAACCTCTTTGACCTCGGCTGCAGCAATTTCCTGCTCAACACATCTCCAAAGGCAAGGGAAATGAAAGCAAAAATGAAGTTATTGGGACCTCAAGATAAAAAGCTTCTGCACTGCAAAGGAAACATTCAACAAAATTAAAAGGCAACCGACGGGATGGGAAAAGATATTTGCAGATGACATATCAGATAAAGGCTTAGTATCCAAAATCTATAAAGAACTTACCAAACTCAACATCTGAAAACAAATAATCCAGTGAAGGAATGGGCAGAAGACATGAATAGACATTTTTCCAAAGAAGACATCCAGATGGCCGACAGACACTTAAAAAGATGCTCAACATCACTCAGCATCAGGGAAATACAAATCAAAACCACACTGAGATACCACCTCATGCCGGTCAGAGTGGCTAAAATTAACAACTCAGGAAACAACAGATGTTGGGGAGGATGTGGAGAAATGGGAACCCTCTTGCACTGTTGGTGGGAATGCAAACTGGTGCAGCTACTCTGGAAAACAGTGGGGAGGTTCCTCAAAAAACTAAAACTAGAACTACGCAGGGCGCCTGGGTGGCTCAGTCAGTTAAGCATCCGACTTCGGCCCAGGTTATGATCTCCTGGTTCATGAGTTCGAGCCCCACGTCGGGTTCTGTGCTGACAGCTCAGAGCCTGGAGCCTGCTTCAGATTCTGTGTGTCCCTCCCTCTCTGCCCTTCCCCCACTCGTGCTCTCTCTCTCTCTCTCTCTCTCTCAAAAATAAATAAAAACATTAATTAAAAAATTTAAAAAAATAGAACTACCCTATGACCCAGCAATAGCACAACTAGGAATTTATCCAAAGAATACAGGAGTGCTGATTCATAGGGGCACATGTACCCCTATGTTTATAGCAACACTTTCAACAATAGCCAAATTATGGAAAGAGCCTAAATGTCCATCAACTGATGAATGGATAAAGAAGATGTGGTTCACATACAACAGAATGCTACTTGGCAATGAGAAAGAATGAAATCCTGCCATTTGCAACAACGTGGATGGAACTGGAGTGTATTATGCTAAGTGAAATGTCACTCAGAGAAAGATAGATATCATATGTTTCCACTCATATGTGGAACTTGAGAAACTTAACAGAAGACCATAGGGAAAGGGAAGGGGAAAAAATAGTTTCAAACAGAGAAGGAGGCAAACCCTAAGAGACTCTTAAATACAGAGAACAAACTGAGGGTGGATGGGGAAGGCGGGGGGAAGGGAAAATGGGTGATGGGCATGGAGGAGAGCACTTGTTGGGATGAGCGCTGAGTGTTGTAAGCAATGAATCATGGAATCTACCCCCAAAACTAAGAGCACACTGTATACACTGTATGTTTGCCAACTTGACAAAAAATTATATTAAAAAAAAAAGACCTAAGTTATCATATAATCTAGAGCAGTATAAGGTGGTATGTGCCAGGGATGAGTAAGTTGAAGGCTGGACAAATCCATGACAAATGTCCTATGTACAGTCAACAATGTCCGTAAAAAAGATAAATCTCTGATGGAAGTCCTCAGGCCATCCCTCGTCAGAGATGGGCCCCCGGACAGGAAGGGTCAGGTCCTGTGGGAAATGGGCAACCAGGGGGCTGGATCTGCAGTTACCTTTGGGAATTTTACTTTGCTGCATGGAGAAGAGATGGGGATGAACCTCTGAATGTGGTGGCATCCATGAAGGGTGACATTACACTACAGCAAATCCAGCTGCTCTTCTAGGTCTCAGGCTCCAGGTCTGCCCAGTGCAAACTATGGGGAAATGGAAATATTAAAATTAATCATTAGTACTGACAGAGTGATAGATACATAGATTAGTGGAACAAAACAAAGAACCAAATGAACCCACACATAAAGGCCCAACTGATTTTTTTTTTTAATTTTTTTTTTTCAACGTTTATTTATTTTTGGGACAGAGAGAGACAGGGCATGAACGGGGGAGGGGCAGAGAGAGAGGGAGACACAGAATCGGAAACAGGCTCCAGGCTCCGAGCCATCAGCCCAGAGCCCGACGCGGGGCTCGAACCCACGGACCGCGAGATCGTGACCTGGCTGAAGTCGGACACTTAACCGACTGCGCCACCCAGGCGCCCCTGGGCCCAACTGATTTTTGACAAAGATGCAAAAGAACTTAAATGGAGGAAGAATATGCCTTTTAACAAATAAATGGTAATGGAGCAAATGGACGCCCACAGGTAAAATATAAGTAAATAAACAAAAATTAAACCTTACCTAAATTTCACACCTTGTAAAAAAAACTCACTCAAAAGGAATCATAGATTTAAATATAAAACAAAATTTTAAGGAGAAAATTGGGGGGACTTAGGATCAAGTGAAACGTTCTTAGACTTGACCTTAAAAGCACAATTCATAAAAGGAAAAAATGACAAATTGGACCTCATTAAGTCATTTTTCTTAAAATGAGAAAATTCCAGGGGTGCCTGGGTGGCTCAATCAGTTAAGCATCTGACTCTTGATTTCAGCTTAGGTCATGATCTCACGGTTCGTGGGTTCGAATCTTGCATCGGGCTGCACTGGCAGCGTGAAGCCTGCTCAGGATTCTTGCTTTCCCCCCTCTTTGTCCCTCCGCCACCCCCAAATAAATAAATAAAACACTTTTTAAAAATGAGAAAGCTACAGAGGTGAGCAGATTAGTGGCTCCTGGGGGTTAAACATGAGGGGGTTGTTATAAAGGAGTAGAATGAGGGAAGTTGTCGTGGTATTTCAGCAGTTCCATATCTTGATTGAGGTGATGTTACATGAAGTTACACGTGATAGAATTGTATAGAACCACACACACGTATCTGTGTGCATATATAAACTGGTGGAATTTGAATAAGCTCTGTGGACTGCAAAAAAGTAGAATCATTAAATATTCGATTAAAAACAAAGTCACAGGGGAGCCTGGGTGGCTCAGACGGTTAAGCACCGGACTTTGGCTCAGGTCATGATCTCACAGTTCGTGGGTTCAAGCCTCGCGCTGGACTCTGTGCTGACAGCTCAGAGCCTGGAGCCTGCTTCAGATTCTGTGTCTCCCTCTCTTTCTTCCCCTCCCCCACTCGCACTGTCTCTCTCTCTCTGTCTGTCTCTCAAAAACAAATAAACATTAAAAAAATAAAATAAACAAATAAATAAAAACAAAATCACAGCCACACAAAAGAAGCTGCCATGATGACTAAAAGCCATGATAACTTCCTTTCACTAGAAGGTAAAGGCCAATTGCAGAGTCACTTGAGTTCCCAGTAGACAGACATGACGACAAACCCAGAGGTCCTGAAATGCAGAGAACCAAGAGGGGGCTCAGTTGATACCCTAAAGGATGTCCTTTCATAGCCCCTGTCATAGTTGCCAGTTGTATGGTTTCTTGAGGGATATCTGTCTCCCCATGTCTCAGTCCACCATAGACCAGGTAGCTTACAAACAACAGAAACTTATTTCTTGCATTACTAGGGGCTGGGAAGTCCAAGATCAGGGTGGCAGGAGATTCAGTGTCTGGTGAGACTCCAGGAAGGAAGGAAGGTGCTCTCAGGGGATCTCTTTTCTGAGGGCACTAATATAATTCATGAGGGCTCCACTCTCAGGACCTAAGCACCTCCCAGAGGCCCCACCGCCAAATATACCACACTGGGCATTAGTTTTTAATCCATGAATTTGGGGTGGGGGACTTCAGTCTATATCCCCCTACTAAAATGTCAGCTCCATGCCCTTATGTGTTTCTTCCCTGATGGGCAAGTTCAATCTCAGCATACAGTAGCAATTCACACAGCATGAGATAAACATGTAAGCAGACTCAGGTAACTTACTTGAGTGCAGAAAGAAGGATTTACTACCTTTTTCTATGGTGTCCTTCTCTCTCCCTCCCCAGAGTCAGCTGTGATGATGGAGCTGTGGTCTGAGCCCAGCACAGTCCTGCAGGGCAGCCAAATACTAGCTCAACAAAAATTCCATTTCCTGGGGTCCTACTGTGTGTCAGGCCCTGCGGCAGACACACTTTATCTCAATATGATGTGCAATACAGAGATTTAATGTGCAAACAGATCAGAGAACAGGGCCATAGCAGAGAATGGTTGGAGTTCGAAGGAAATGAAGTAGGGGGGTGACAGAAAACTACAACCACTACTTCTGAGGAGGTGACTCCAGGGGAAGAGGATTCTGGACAGAGGCAACTTCAGGGCAGAGGCCTCAGGCAGGACTGAGATGGTGCATTTGAGAGCGAGGAGAAGACTCTAACCCATGCTGGAGGAGGAGGGCATGGAAACCAGGTCATGCAGTCCCTGTAAGCGGGGATGAGGAGTTTGGTTTGTTCTAAACCAAATGGGAACCACAGATGGACATGCTGCTCTGAGGGAGGCCTGGGCTGCGTGTGGTGATACTGGTGGAGGGGGCCAGTTTCTTTGTGCAGGTGCCATGCTGCTGGGAGCTTCTGGAGCGGGGAAGGGCAACTCGGGGAAGGGCAACTCAGAGCAGGCAAGTGAACACTTGATAGACCTTTAGGTTGGTAGAATCTGAGCCTCATGTCTGACATGGCTTTGATCTGTCCATGGGTACTGTACCCCAGGAGGCTCTGCCCTGTGATGTCCTTGGCAGGAGTAGTGCGGGGAACCACTGCAGGGAAGGACTACATGTTAGGCAGAACTCTTTTCCTTCCAGGGCACTTAAACCCAAATATAAGTGGTTTTGCCAAAATAAAATTATTGATTCATTCATCAAGCTCACAGGACAGCTTTAGGCACAACTGGAGGCAGGGCTCAGTGAGATCAAAAGGGCTTGTCTCTTATCTCCACTCAGCTGCCTCTTTTGGCTTAGTTTTCAGGCATGCATCTCTTTAAAGAGGAAAAGTTGCTGCTGGCAGCCCCAACTCCCAAATCCTGGTGCATGAACTCCAGGGTCCACAAGAGGGTTCCCCTTTCCTCACAATTCCTTGCAAGTCCTTTGAATGCCTCTCATTAATGCACCTCAGGTCACATGACCACCCTTGACCCCCATCATTATAGCTTTGGGTTGAATATGCTCTGATGACCAGGCCTGATGCATATACTCAGTAAAAACTTGAATGAGTGAACGAACAAGTAATTACTGGACATACTTACTTGTTCACTGTTAAAAGCCAACTTTTCTTTAGGCTCTTCTCCATTTCTCCCAGTAAGTTAGCTATATTGGTCTGCTTAGGGCTTGAGGTGCTAAATGATTAAGTTCCAGAGCTTGGCTTAAAAAATGAAAATCACCAATATTAAGGAGACTTGTTATGAACTGAATGCGTCTCCCAAAATTATGTGTTGAAGTCCTAAACTACTATCTGATGGTGCGGAGATAGGGCCTTTGGGAGGTAATTAGATTTAGATGAGGGTGGGTCCTCTGTTACAGAATCAGCATCCTTATAAGAAGCATAGAGACACCAGAACTTTCTTTTTCTCTACTATGTAAGGACACAGCAAAAAGATGGCCATCTACAAGCCAGAAGAGCTCTCATCAAAGAACCAAACTGGCCCACACCTGGGTCCGGGACTTCCCAGTCCCTAGCACTGGGAGAAATAAATTTCTTTTGCTTAAGCCGCCCAGTCTCTGGTATTTTCTTATAGCAACTGAACAGACTGAGACACTCACCAAGAGATGAAGGAGGTTCCCCTTATGGGCATCTGCAGAGCAAGATGGTGTCTGTTCTCATGAACCAGTTCACAGAGTCTTTTAAGACAAGGTATCAAACTGAGAATATTCAGAATTTCAACCTTGCTCTCCTGCTTAATTACTGTGGAGACACACACATTTACTCCTATCACCAAACTGTCTTGTTGACTGTGAGAAAATAAACAGACACCTGCCCTGCTGACCGGGGACCAAACACGTCACACAGCACAGTGAGAAAAGAAGTACTATTAACTCTGTAGATGAACTTAAAAATCAAGAAACACACTAGTCCCAATCTCAGTGAAGACTTCTATGTTGCTAAGTCTTTAACAAACCCAAATGTATCCCTCAATTTCAAACGTGCAGCAGATGTAATCGTGAGGACAAACTTAGGGGTAGCACTGGGTTTGTGTCCGGCCAGACATCGAAGCACAGAGAGGGCAGAGAAAGAGGAAGAAGGTCACTCCAAATGAGGAAGTGAAGGGTCTCATGAAGAAATACCATCTTGGTTTAACTGTGGAAGGGGTATTCTTGAAAGAGGTAGAGAGGCTGGGGAGGCATTCCTGATAGGCTGAGGGCACATATAAAAATGCCCAGGGGCACAGAACTGCTGGGTGGACTCCAGAGGAGAGCTACCCCTGGCTGCGGGAGAGGGCAGTCTCAGGGCAGCCAAGACAGAAACTGCAAGGATGGGCTGCTGGCACTGGCTTTCCAGGTGAGATTTGAGCTAACTGATACCCAAACTGATACCCTGGGCAAGTCAAAGGGTCAGAGCCACCAGGAACCATTTGTTTCAGATGTTCCAGCATCACCTGGAAAACATTACCCTTCACCCCCTCCCCAGCAGGTTGGCTGCTATACAAGCAACCCCAATGGGAGACCAGAAAGCTGGTTCAGAGGACCCTTCACCCATGTGCTCAGGGCCATCTGATCTAACCAAGGCCACCCATACAAGGTACAAAGGATTGAACTCTAATGACTGATGTCTACCCTACCCCAAGAACTGAGCCCTACTTGGCTCAGCTGGACTTTAGCTCTGCTACAACACAGACCAACCCCCACCCCCACCCCCACCATGCTGCAGGCAAACAATTACTATACGCAGGGAGTAGGGCCTGAGTAGGCCTGGAGGTGGGCATATACTTCACAGTGTTGGGAAGAAACTGAGCAGACTGGCCAAAAAGTCCCCTGACTATAAGCCTGCCTGGGCTTCTACCCTGTTTCTACCCCCAGTCCTCCTGCCATCAGGGGTGGGGGAGAAGCATCACTCCAGTTATAGGAGGCAGCAGTCATTTCCAACCGCAACACATGGTAATGGCTGAGCACTGTGGCTCAAAGCCCCTTAAGCCTAGGGTCACCATTCTCTTTCCAACGTGCTTCAAACTAACATTCTCTTCTTTGACAGGAAGCATAACTTTTGGAACAGGGACACAGCTACAACCAACATACAAGTTTTACTGAACTGACATTTTATTGACCTTTGGGAAATTAGTTTCCAAAACTTTTTAAATCAAAAGAACCCACAAACCAGAGGATACGGGTCCATATGTTGGTTCAACCACTTCTTTCCTCTGTGCCCTGGCATACTGGCAGCAAAGACAATGAAGGCCACAGTATGCAGAGACACTAGGAACATTGGCCACATCCCAGGACAACAGGATCTTCCTTCTCTCAGGACCAGGGTGATGGCCATGAGGTGAACATCCTGCTATCCCCAGTAAGGCAACAAAAATCAAGGACCCCTTACCACAGAAGCCAGTCCTTCTATTCATGAGCCCAGTTTTGTTCTCAATCTCTTCACACACAGTGATCAGAACCCCCAATATTAAAGATGGCTTAAACAATAAAGCTTTTATTACCATACATTCCAGGGAAGTGTGAGACAGCCAGTTCCAGGGTTGGATAAATCCATGACAGGTACCATGCGTAGTGTAAACGATGTCCATGGAAAGGATTAACTTTCTCTGGAAGCCCCCAGTAGACACAGCTCAGCTACTCTTGACCAGAGCTTGGTTACAGGCATACCTGAACCAGTTGGAGGGAGCAAATGAGGCCCATCACGGACTCCACCACTCATGATTCTCTCCTTTAAAGAGTGGCGACCATGGAGGTCTTGCTGTTCCAGAGCACATTGCGGTGCCTGATGCACACCTTGGGCACCTGCCAGGTGGTGGAGCTAAGATGGTTTGTATCATGGAAACTGGCAGCAACTTAACACTGCCAACAGCCTAGGCAGGTCCAAGTGCAACCTAGCTCCTGAAAACTTCCCACACACCTGCCACCCCAGCGCATGTGTTGGGGTGTGCCAGGTTTAACTTTCAAATGGCTACTCTCCTCTCCTTTCTGGAGTGAGGTTTTTCATGTTGAACAAGGTGCCAGCCCTAGCTACAGGCTTTCCAACATCCCCTGTCTTCTTATGGCCTTTCTCCAGTGTGGACTTTCTTGTGCTGAAGAAGGGTAGAACTATGTTTGAAGGCTTTCCCACATTCTGTACACTCATAGGACCTCTCTTCAGTGTGGAACTGCTGGTGCCGATTGCGGTAGGACCTGGTGGTGAAGGTCTTCCCACACAGGCTGCACTCATAGGGCCGTTCTCCAGTGTGAACTTTCCAGTGCTGATACAGGCCAGAGCGGGTCACATAAGTTTTCCCACATTGCTTGCACTCATAAGGCCTTTCTCCAGTGTGAACTCTCTGATGAAGAATGAAGCTATGGTTGTATTTAAAGAACTTCCCACATTCCCTGCACTCATAGGGCCTTTCTCCAATGTGAACTTTCCGGTGCCGAATGAGAGTAGACAGAACGCTGAAGGCTTTCCCACATTCGCTGCACTCATAAGGCCTTTCTCCAGTGTGAATTCTCTGGTGCAGAACGAGTGCATCTTTGCGGTTGAAGGTTTTGCCACATTCATCACACTTGAAAGGTTTTATGCCCGTGTGAACCTTCTGGTGCTTCCTCAGTTTAGAGGGATAACTAAAGGCCTTTCCGCACTCAGTACACACATGGGATGTTTCTCCAGTGTGAATTTTTTGGTAATTAACATGGGTGGATTTCTCCTTGGGGGCATTTCCACCTTTTGGACATCTAAAGGGTCTCTCTTTGGGGTGGGTTACCAGGTGGTCAAGGAGCGCAAAGGCCTTTGGGAAGGCTTTCCCGCAGTCACTGCACTTGAAGGCCTTCTGTGTGGCGTGGACTGCCTGCTGCTGTTGGCTACTGGAGCTGGGTTGGAAGGCTTCTCCATGCTCGGTGCTCCTGTGTGGCTTCCCCTTGCTGTGGGTGGCCTGGTGCCGGAGAAGATCTAAGGTGGTAGGCATGTCCTTCCCAGACTCCCCAAGCAGAGAGGGCTTCTCTGACAGGTAGACTCTGTAACTCTTCATCTGCTCTGTAGGGGTTTCCCCATCCTTCAGGCTACATGGACAACCTGAAACATAAAAGCCAGTTACCGAGCGCTGGATTAGAGAGAGGAGGTACCTACATCACAAACACACATCAGACATACCAGAAAGCAGTCCACAGAATTGCCAGGAGGTTGCTAGAAGTCTGGGTGAGAAACGACTGGCCCACTAGAACGGGGCTCTGCCAGATCACAGAGTAGGAAAGACTTCAGCAGGGATGAGAACACAAAGATGGGAGCAGTGCCAGGAGAAGAGGTGAGGCCACCAGGTCACTCCTTGCAATGTGTTTCAAGTAGGGCCTCCACTGCTGGTGACAGTGGGCACTGTGAAGAGGATGTGTCTGCACAGATGAAAAGGCAGCTGTAACAGAGTAGCTGGTCTTGAAGTATTATTTAAGGATGTGTGCACATCTCAAGTCACTAGTAGCTCTACACTGGCGTGGAGAACAGGGAGGGGGGTCATCTAGGTCCTGAGAGTCATGGTAGGGACAGAAATCGCATATTGTGTCCACAAGGGAGAGGAAAGGTGGGAATAGTGTGTGGTCACTGGCCTCAGTACCAAAAAGCCAAAGCACACAGATGAGCAGCATGCTGTGAGCCCATCACTGAAACCAAGACATGTCCCAGCCCTACTCACCAAGACCAGGACCCCTCCTGGCCTCAACTCTGCTGACCAGAGTCAGGTCCACCATGCTGGGAACCCAGAACTCTTCTTCACTCTCCAGCTGGGCAACCACATGGCACCTTGAAGATGCAAATCCTGGGAGGGAGAACAGCAGTAAGAGGCCAACCCAAGCCAAGGCTTACCCACTCCATCCCCCACCAAAGGAAGCGCATGTCACCATGGCAACCATGAAGGAAACAGAGTATTAGAAAAACAATATCCTCAGGGCACCTGGGTGGCTCAGTTGGTTAAGCGTCTGACTTCAGCTCAGGTCATGATCTCACGGTTCCTGAGTTCTAGCCCCACGTCAGGCTCTGTGCTGACAGCTCAGAGCCTGGAGCCTGCTTTGGATTCTGTGTCTCCCTCTCTCTCTGCCCCTTCCCTTCTCATGCTTTGTCTCTCTCTCCCACTCTCAAAAATAAATAAGCATCAAAAACATTTTTAAAAAAAAGAAAAGAAAAAAACATCTTCTGCACAATTAAACATGTGTTAAGCAGGTAGACCCCATGTTGTGTTTTACCACAATCTTTTAATAGAGCCTCCCATGAAGTAAAACTGACATAACTTAAGTAAAAAATAGACAAATGATAATAGTTGGAGAACTTTCAATAATGGACAGAATCACTAGGAAGAAAACAAATAAGTATACAGCACTTGAACAACACTAAAAATCAACTAGACCTAACAGACATCTATAGAGCATGCCACAATACAGCAGCAGAATGCATATTCTCACATGCTCACATGCACATGGAACATTCTCCAGAACAGACCACTTGATGGGAAATAGACTTTCGAGGACTGAAATCACACAAAGTATGATCTCTGACCACAAAGGAATTAAAATAGAAATCAACAACAGAAAGAAATTTGGGAAGCTCACAAATTTATGGAATTTAAATACAACACTCCTAAATGACCAAAAGACAACTACAGAGCACTCTGAAATGAATGAAAATGAGAATACAACATGCCCAAAGTAATGGGACATAGCAGTGCTTAGAAAATAGGAAATTAGAGCTATAAACACCTCTGTGCTGTTTCACTTCTAACAATCTGACACCAAAAGTGGGTAGGTACAGGGCAGGTGTTCCACACCACTTCTCCAAATCTCAGACATCAAGCTGGTGTCCAAGGATTCCATTCAATTCTCATATTAACTACACAGAGTCAGCATCAGATCCCACAGATTAAGGGCTCAGTCCCACAGGACTGCTGCTATTTCAGACACCAGTTGAAAGTCCCAGACCGCCCACACTTCTGACCAAGTGGCTATAAATCAGGGATTCCCACAATTATTGATCCCTTCTCAGGTTCAATAGTTTGCTATAATGGCTCACAGAACTCAGGAAAAGAGTTTACTTACTATACCAGTTTATTATAAAATATACAACTCAGAAACAGCCCAATGGATGAGATGCAAAGGGCAAAGTATGCCAGGGTAGAGATGGGGGTGGGGGTTGACGAAGTAGAGGGTTAGAGGCATTCATGCCCTCTGGTGGTGCCACTTTTCCCAATAACCTAGAAGCTCTCTGAAGCCTATTGTTTGGGAGTTTCTAATCTCCCTGGAGGGTAGGGTTAGGGGACTGGGAGGATAGGGGGTGGGGGCAGCTCAATTTTTAACCTTTCAATCGTGCCCTAGTCTTTCTGGTGACCACCCCCCTATCCTGAAGCTATCTAGGGGCTCCCAGCCACCAGCCATCCCATTAGCACACAAAAGATACTCATCATTTCACAGATTCCAACAGTTTTAGGAGCAGTGCTAGGAAGTGGGAACAAAGACAAAATATATATTTCTTTTTATGTCACATCACCCATATTTAAAAAGAGCTCAGGGGCACCTGGGTGGCTCAGTCAGTTAAGCATATGACTCTCAATTTCAGCTCAAGTCATGATGTCATGGTTCATGAGTCTAACCCCTTGTCGGGATCCTGGCTCACAGTGTGGAGCCTGCTTGGGATTCTCTGTCTCCCTCTCTCCCTCTGCCTCTCTCTCTCAAGAAGAAATAAATAAACATTTTTTTAAAAAATTTTTTAACGTTTATTTATTTTTTTTGAGACAGAGAGAGACACAGCACGAATGGGGGAGGGTCAGAGAGGGGGGAGACACAGAATCCGAAACAGGCTCCAGGTTCTGAGCTGTCAGCACGGAGCCCGATGCGGGGCTCGAACTCACGGACCGCGAGATCATGACCTGAGCCGAAGTCGGACTGAGCCACCCAGGCGCCCCTAAATAAACATTTTTAAAATAATTTAAAAAAATTAAAAGATCTCAAACCAATAGCCTAACTTTAGTCCTCAAGGAACAGGAAAAAGAAAAGCAACTAAACTCAAAGCTAACATAAGAAAGGAAATGGTAAAGAACAGAGATAAATGAAATAGAGATTAGAAAGAGAGAAATCAGTGAAACCAAAATTAGGATCTTTGAAAAGATTAGCAAAATTGAAAAACTGCTACCTAGACTGACAAGAAAAAAATAAAAGAATCAAATTATTAATTAAAAAGAAAAATGAAAAGGGGGACATCACTAACAAAATTACAAAATAGAAAGTTAAAAAAAAATTTTTTTTATAGAAAGTTAAAAAAAAATTTTTTTTAACGTTTACTTATTTTTGAAAGAGAGACAGAGTGTGAATGGGGAAGGGCAGAGAGAGGAGACACAGAACCTGAAGCAGGCTCCAGGCTCTGAGCTCTCAGCATACAGCCTGACATGGGACTCGAATTCACGAACCATGAGATCATGACCTGAGCCGAAGTCAGACACTTAACTGACTGAGTCACCCAGGCATCCCTAGAAAGGTTTTTGTTTGTTTGTTTGTTTTACATTTATTTATTTTTGATAGAGACAGAGTACAAGTTGGGGAGGAGCAGAGAGAGAAGGAGACACAGAATCCGAAGCAGGCTTCAAGCTCCGAGCTGTCAGCACAGAGCCCCACGCAGGGCTCGAAACCACAAACCGTGAGATCATGACCTGAGCCAAAGTCAGACACTTAACCAACTGAGCCAACCAGGTGCCCCACCCCTAGAAAGGGTTTTAAGGAAATACTATGAACAACTGTACTGTATGCCCACAAATTAGATAACTTAGATAAAACAGACAAATTCCTAAAAAAGACACAAACTACCAAAACTGACTCAAGAAGAAACAGAAAGTCTGATTATATTTAAACAACAACAAAACTTCCCCCATGGGGGTAAGAAAAAAAGTCAGCCCAGAGGGCTTCACTGATGAATATTAACACTGAAATAAAAATTTCCACCAATACTTGACACACTCTTCCAGAAAACAGTAGAAAAGGGAACATTTCCCAACTCATCCATTGAGGCCAAAATTACCCTCATTCTCAATTAAAAAAAAAAAAAAGACATTGTGAGAAAACTACACACTGGTAACTCTTCAACAAAACTCTTCAACAAAAGAGATGCAAAACTCTTCAACAAAATACTAGCAAAGCCAATCCAGAAATACATAAAAGGATTATAAACTACGACAGAGTGAAAAACGTCCTAGTAACACAAGGTTGAACTATGAAAATCAATTACTGCAATACTCTGTGTTAACAGAATAGACAATAAAAATCACACAATCATCTCTTTTTAATGTTTATTTATTTTTTTATTTTGAGAGAGAGAAAAAAAAAACACACGCAAGCAGGGGAGGGGCAGAGACAGACAGACAGACAGACAGACAGACAGACAGAAAGAGAGAGGGAGACAGAGAATCCCAAGCAGGCTCCACACACAGCACAGAGCCCAACTCGGGTCTTGATCTCATGAACTGTGAGACCATGACCTGAACCAAAACCAAGACTCTGACACTTAACCGACTGAGCCTCCCAGGCCCCTGCACATGATCATTTCCATACACATGGGAAAGTACTAGACAAACTCTAATGACCTTTCATGATAAATGCACTCGACAAATTGAGAAAAGAAGGGAAATTCCTCACCTGAAAAGGTGAGCTGCAAAAAACCCACAGTGATTATTAGTGAAAGACTAAATGCTTTTCCCATAAAATTGAGAATGAGACAAGGATATCTACTCTCACTAATTCTATTCAATAAAGTACTTGAGGTTCTAGCCAGGTCAGTTAAGCAAAGGAGGAAGTAAAGATATCTCTATTTGCAGATGACATCACACCACATATATGGAAAATATCAAGGAGTTCACTAAAAAAAAAACAAAAAAAAAACTATTAGAACTAATAAATGGGTTTAGTAAGGCCACAAGACACAAAATCACTATACAAAAATCTATATTTCTATACACTAGCACTGAACAATCTAAGATGAAGTTAAGAAAACAATTCCACTTAAAATATCATCAGAAGGAGGGGCGCCTGGGTGGCGCAGTCGGTTGAGCGTCCGACTTCAGCCAGGTCACGATCTCACGGTCCGTGAGTTCGAGCCCCGCGTCAGGCTCTGGGCTGATGGCTTGGAGCCTGGAGCCTGTTTCCGATTCTGTGTCTCCCTCTCTCTCTCTCTGCCCCTCCCCCGTTCACGCTCTGTCTCTCTCTGTCCCAAAAATAAATTTAAAAAAAAAAACGTTGAAAAAAAAAAAAATATCATCAGAAGGAATAAAATACCTAGGAATAACTTTAGTCTTACATGCTGAAAACTACAAAACACTGTTGAAAAAAGTTAAAGACGACTAAATAAATGGAAAGACATTTCATGTTCTGAATTGAAAGATATTAAGTGGCAATACTCCCCTAACTGAGCTACTGATTCGAATTCATGGCTCAAGCTTGGACCACGGAGGACCCTATAAATTTTCTTTTGAAGAAAGAAGGCAAAACCCAGAGCACAGAGAGGCCATGACTTCAGCAGACTCACAGAGACAGTCAGGGCTGAGTGGGATTTGTTGGGCAAACTGTAAACTTCTGAACCCCAAGCCCTACTACAGGAGGCAGTGGGGCAACAGCTATTGAGGCTGCTAACAAGGCTGCTCAGAGAGAGGCAGGGGAAGAACACACAGCCCATTGCCAGTACTCACAGCACCAACCACCGGGAACCTGGGAAGGAAGCAGCCTCTGTGGTGGGGTTTTAGGATGAACACAGCTTCCTATGGGTAAAAGGCAGAGGCGGTCTGTTAGGAAAGAGTGTGAGAGACTTACCCAGCGAGCCAATAAGTGCAAAGTTCTCTAGCATCACATCACGGTAAAGGCTCCTCTGAGTCAGATTAAGGAGCCCCCACTCCTCCCGGGAGAAATACACAGCCACATCCTCAAAGGTCACCAGCCCCTGTAATGATGGATTGAACTGAGCCTTAGGGGTCAATAGTGGGCAGACAAGCCAACCAAAACACAGACAGAGGAACACATCTAGGTCCTTGATCAGTGTCCCAAGGTCCTGCCTCATCTCTCACTGACATCAACTTTCCCTTTGAGCCCCAAACCCCTACTCCCACTCGACACATACCCTCTACCTCCCTCCTCCTAAGACTCTTACCTCAGAGGATTGCCAGGGCCCCCAATTCCATTGGTGCCTCTCTCCTCATGTTACTATTGGACTCTGCATCCTGCCCACAGCAACAACAGGCTGGTGACCAGATAGATGCCATCTATGTTCCCAGCCAGACACACAGGTCTCACCCTATCTCCTGCTAGCCAATTCCCTCTAAGTCCCAGAGATCGGCTCCCAGAGACAAGCAAACCTAGGCTCACCCTTCTGTCTTAGGTCCAGACCCTTCAGTTTGCCCCCGGTGTCTGACATGCACAGAACTCTTTGTACCACAACTTGTTAGAGCTCCACACCCCAGCACAATCTCACCCGTTCAGCCCATTGGCAACTCGCTGGACTTCCCTTACATGCCCATTCTGCACACAGTGTCTCCGGTAACACCACTGAGAGCAACCACAATACCATCCTCACTCAGTCCAGCCCCACTCCTCCATGGCTCAGTGTTAAGCGCATCCCCGCCTCCGCACTCTGCACTGAAGACCGCCGTACCCAGGCCTGTCCCTCGCTTCAACTCTCAGTCGACCAGACCACACATGGATCTCCAAGACCCCTCTTCCACCTCTGCCTCTGACCAGGCTGCCCCTTCACCTGCACAGCCTTCCCCGCTTCTCCTGAGCTCATTCAGAACCCGACCCACTGGGTGGGGATCAGGGCTGTCAGAGCCTCCGGCACCTTCCACTTACCAGCGCCTCCTCGGCCATCGGAAGCTGTGGACGGAGCTTGGCTGCGATAGGCGCCGAATTCCGGTCTACTCAGCTCAAATCCGTACCTACCACCCCGCCTTGGGCGCAGGAACCTCCGGCCGACCGCGGAACCTTCGAAACTAGGTCTCCTCCGTGTAAAATGTGCTCAAAGACCAGGGAACCGCCCGCGGGAGGCCCTGGCCCTCCGGCACCCGTTCCGCAGTGGGCGACACCGAGTCTTAGAAAAATGGGGTTATTTCCGAGGGTCACGGCGCGCGCACAGGTGCCACGAGGGTCCCCGGCCCTCTTCTCGGCAACGCGGCTCTCCAAGTGCTGGTCTCCACCCACAGCTGCAAGAAGAGCACAGCTAGAGCAACGCCGGAAGTCCGGCCGCCGCCAGACGCCTTCATTAACTTAGCTCCAGCGTCTCTTTAGGGCCTCATTTCCCAGCTCCCCTCGCGGTGCCGCTTGCTCGTTGCCAAGGCGACAGGGGAGGGCGTGTGCGCTCGTACCGACGTAGCCAATGACGGCCCCAGAGAGGAGCTTTCCCTCGTTCCGTGGAGGTGGGACTTCCGGCGTCGCCCTCCTTCGGAACCACGTCCGGCAGACGGACTGCGTAACTGCGCGGAGGCGGAAATTTGGGAGGCTCCTCAGAACGGTGGAAACTGGAATATAGAGGGCCTGAGAGGAGGCTGCGCGCTCTGTACGCGGGTTAAGCTCGGCAAGTGTTTTTGGCGGTAAAGAGGCACTACCTTCGCGTCTCACCTCCATCAAAGCCCATCCGTGCCCGCCGCCGCCCAGGAGTCATCGCCCCGGACGCGGTGTCTGCTTCACGGAGCAGGAGACGGAGCTCAGAAAAGCCTCTCCAGCCTGAGTTCAGTGAGGAGCTGGGGACCAGCGGCCAGGGAGCCTTGGCAGGAGGAGGAAGTGTTGGAGAAGATCCACAGTTGGACTTTACAAGTGTTGAGTCTGGTGGTGCCTGGGCCACTGGACTCAGGCAGGTCTGGGGTACCGGGGATGGGTCTGGAACATGCTCAAGGGACAGTAGGCTGATAGCCTGCCCCGTGTAAGGCCACAGTCAGGTAGGGGCCTTGTGGAGGAGGGTGAGCGCGTTGTTGAGGATGTTAGGGAGAAAGGTCCTGGGCACATCAAGATGCGAGGCCGGCAGGAGGACCCGGCTCCTGGATGTCGTGCAGTGGATTCAGATGCACTCATCCTAGAGGATGTGGTGCCGAGTCTCCTAGGAAGAATGGAACACTTAGACGAGTCTCAGAGCAACCTACCCCAGGGTGATGCTTGAGAACTTTGCACTGGTGACCTCTGGGTCGGGCCACTGGCTTCCTTACTCCCACACCTAGAACTCTGTTTTCTTTGCTCTTGCTGTGTTCGCCTTGCAAGTTTGTGGTGGTCCTGTAGCTGCGGCCCCCAGGCTATGTTTCCTTCTCTCCCTGACCGCTGTGAACAAACCCCCCCCCCCGCCACACACACACACACACACACACACACACACACACACACACACACATTGTATCAAGGGGCCATGAGTGGCTGAAATTGGGTCAGAAGTCTAAATCTTTGCAGCAGGTCATGTCCAGCTCAGTCACTTTCTCTAAGATACCCAGCATTTCATGCACTGACGTGGTGATTGTGGGGCCACTGGGCTCTGCCTTGGAGACCTTCCCTGAACATTCAGTTTGTGGATTTTCAGTATTGTTCATATACAGATGATCCTCATGGGTTATGGTCTGTTGAGGGGTGGTTTGGTCCTCTTGGGGTGGATTCTCACAAACCTCATCAGCTCCCATGGCTCTGTTGGTTTCTACGTTCCCTGTGGTTATCCCAATGGAATTGATGAGGAGACCTGCCCTGGTGACTGCCCGAGGTGGGCTGGGCTATTCTCACACCTGGCGTCTGGTCCATGCCATCTCAGGTCTTGGTGCCTCCCTGACCCCCTAGTGTTTTTTCATCCTCTTTACAATCCTGACTCCAGCCCCCTGGCTGTGCAATGTTTACCTCCTATTAACAGGTCCTCAGTTGATCAGATATCTTAAGATAGTCCTCGCAAACCTGTTCCTCAGTTACACCTATGTATTCTCTCCAAGAAGGCAGGCACAGGTGGGACTGCCCTCACCACATGGTACATGCCTGTGGTTAGTGGCCACAGACTATTGTCATTGGGTGGATTGTTCTAGCCTAGGCTGGACTCTGAGCCTAGGAGTATGTATTCCCTGCATGATTATCACCTTTCCACTCCATGAGGTCACCTGATTAGAGTACTGTCCAGAGCACTGATGGACCAGGTAGACTTGAAAGCAAGGATGCATGAGAGGTCCTGAAGAGGCTCACCCATCGAGATTGCAAGCTGGGGAGTGGAGTGTCTCTGGGGTTAGACTATTCTTGTGCCTGGAGCCTGAGCTGTACCTCTGGTGTCCAAGTGCCATGGCCACTACCCTTGTGACTTTTCTATCTTCCTGACTTAATGGACAATCTACCCTCTCATCTACTTCCCTGACTCCTCTATCCTGGCTGTCCCTCACCTCTCTGTCTTCCATGTCTCACCTCCCCTCTCCCTTCTTTCTGCTGAAAACATTGGCCATCTTCAACATGTCTTGGGCAGATACACATTCTTAAGTAGTTCCAGAAAGCCCATTCCTCAGTGAGCCAGGCTTCCCTGTCTTGGGTGTGGGCAGAGGCTCATGCTTACTTGGTCACAACTGGTAGGCGACAGCACTACAATTTGAACCCAAGTGTTCTCGGACTGAAGTTTCCTCTCTTTACTCATCTTTCTTGGGCTTGCATTCACAGCTCGTTATGGTTTTTATTTGTGTTACTTTCTGAGGTTGACTTCTTGGACCTCAGTAGTTTTACTTTTCAGATTAAAGGTTTAGTGCTTCTTTAGGGACCACAAGGACAGGTAATAAGATAATGGAGTCTTACTGGGAAGGTGGCAGGGTGACCCTAAATGTAGGATATCTTTTTTGGGGGGGGGGGCGGGGAGACAGCACAAGCAGGGGAGAGGGACAAAGGGAGAGAGGGAGAGAGAGAGAATCAGTGTGGAGCCCGACATGGGACTCAATCTTGAAACCACAAGTTCATGACCTGAGCCAAAATCAAGAGTCGGACGCTTAACTGACTGAGCCACCCAGGCACCCTAAATGTAGGGCATCTACTTAGGACTGGCTTCCTGAAGGATGGCAAGAGGAGGGTGCAGTTTGGGTTGCCACAGCAGGTGGACACCTGGAAATATCCAGATCACAGTGCAGCATGGGAGTCTGTTAGCAGTTGGGAGATACTTCCTGCCAACCAGTTGTGAAAGGTTGTGGAGTGTGACTGAAGATGGGAGTGTCCACACAGCCATACAGAGACTGAGCAGTGATTCTGAGCTTCCATTGCTGGCATTCAAATGTTGGTATTCTCACCCACCATGGGCTGATTGTAATTTCCCCATTTTATTTTATTTATTTTTTAATGTTTATTTATTTTTGAGACAGAGAGAGACAGAGCATGAACGGGGGAGGGTCAGAGAGGAGGGAGACACAGAATCCGAAACAGGCTCCAGGCTCCGAGCTGTCAGCACAGAGCCCGACGTGGGGCTCAAACTCAAAGACCGTGAGATCATGACCTGAGCCGAAGTCGGAAGCTCAACCGACTGAGCCACCCAGGCGCCTAATTTCCCCATTTTATACGTAAGGAAATGGACACAGAGTGGTGAGGCATTGTACCCACAGTCACATGGGAGCCCAGGTACAAACTCAGCTCAGCCTGACTCCCTAAGTTCTGACCCCCTTGCCTCTGTGTACCATTTTGCATGTAGCAGGACATGGTGGTTACATATGATGCAAGTTTGAAGTGTGTGGATTTGAAAGTATAAGATACAGAATCACATTTTATACATTGAATTTGAAACCGTGTAGACCCTTCTCTCTGCATAGTCTAGGGGGAATTATTCTTGCATGTCTCCAGTTGGGAATGATATAGCATGTAAGAATACATCCCTTGGGCAAGAGTCCTGCCTGTATTTTGTGATGTGCTCCCTTATCAAAGTACAAACATACCATATAAGTCTTCCTGCTAGGTTGAGGGGTCAGTGTACTTTATGGATTGACAGATGAGACCAGTGACCCTGTGGAGAAGTGGCTCTGACCCCCTATTCTACCTCCCATATAAAGCCCAGCAGTGTCTGTGAGGGTCTTACAGCAATATTAATCCCAGTGAGCTTCCTCATGTATGCCACAAGGACTGTTTGCCTGGCCCTTTTGTAAGCACAGTAGTATGTGTGTTTACCTTACACTAGCCATTCTAATAGGTATGTACTCTTATTTCATAGTGCTTTTTTTTTTGTTTCCACACTCAATTGGACATACACATTCAAGGAATTTTTTAAATACTTTTTATTTTGAAGTACTTTGAAAGATGTTGCAAAACCGATCCCATGTACCCTTCGTCCAGCTTCCCTCAATGTATGTAACCATAGTACATTGTCAAAGCCAGGAAAATAGTATTAATACCGTACTTTTAACTCAACCACAGACCTTATTCAGATGACAGCAATTTTCACATATACTCTTTATGTAGTTCTACGAAATATTATCATATGTTTAAATTCATATTACTACCACCACCACCATCCACTACAGAGCTGTTCCATTTCACAAGGGAGCTCTTCTAACTAACCCTTAGGTCACACCTTCTCCCAATCCTGACGACCATTGATCTGTCCCCCATCACTATATTTGTGCCACATCACAAATGTCCTGTAAATGGAATCCTATAGTATGGATGGGATATACTTTGGGCTTTCACCATTCATCATAATGCACTTGAGATCCATCCAAGTTGTGTGTGTCAGTAGCTTGTTCCTTTTTAATTGCTGAATAGTGTGGCTATACCACAGTTTGTTTAGCTATTGACCTATTGAGGGACATCTGGGCTGTCTGCATTATTATTATTATTACAAATAACACTGCCACTAACATTTGTATTCGGTTCTCTCTGAACATGTTTTCATTTTTGTGTGGACATGAGTTGTCATTGTTTGTGTCAGGGAGGTGATAAACCCAAGAATGCAATTGTAGAGTTGTACAGTAAATGTATACTAAACTGCCAAATTGTTTCCAGAGTAGCTGTACTATTTTACGTTCCCACCAGTAATTGCTATTGAACATCTTTCCATGCATGTATTTGCACATATGGATATATATGGATATATGGATATGGATCATATATCTGCTTTAGTGAAATATCTTAAGTTTTTGCCCATTTTCTAAGTGGAATTTTTTTAAGTCAACTTGATTAATGTGTAGCTTATGTACAACAAAATGCACTCCTTTCAAGTGCAAAATTTGATGAAGTTGGACAAATAAATACGCCCATGTGTTGAATTTGAGATACTCACTGGAGCCATTTCCTTGAGCCAATATAGCTGTGTCCCACTCACCTCCATTGTGTTGCTAATGGAAAGTATATTTCTATTTGTTATAAGCCAAACAACACAACTAATATAGACATAGATATAGATATAGATAGATATATAGTTGTGTGTGTGTGTGTGTATATATATATATATATATATATATATATGGTTTTATATAGTTACTTTTAACAATAAGTTAAGAAATATGCATTTCTACTTATACTTACATAATTACTGGTGCTTTTTGTTTTTTCATGTGGATTCAGATCATTGTCTGGGGTCACATACTTTCAGCTTTAGTACTTACTGGGTTGGTTGACATGGACAAGGAGATAACCCCAAGCGCCTGCTCATCAGGAGCAGGGAAGAGAAAGTGAAAACATCCAAGTCACCAGCTGGGACTCTGTCTATTCTTTAACAAGCGCATGATGTGTTCTGATTGTCCAAGAATGTTTAGAAGTATACTTGCTGATTACAAATACAATCATGTTTGGTGCCAACATTTTTTAATAGAGATACCCTAATCATTTCCAGTAGTGCCTGTTGTTAGGTAGTTTCCCCTCAAGACAGTGCAGCTCTTAAGTTCATTGTATGAGTCTCCTTGGGCCTGTCATTGGGAGAACTGTTTTAAATTTGAGTAGACAATGCTTCACACTGGTCAGCTGTGTTCCAAGTAGGCTACTATGAACTACAAGTGAAAATCACATGATTTTCCCTTTGTCTCTAGTCTGGCTCATTTTTCCTTTGTAATGTTTATTCTTTTTTGAGAGAGCGTGAGCAGGGGAGGGGTACAGATAATCCAAAGAGGGCTCTGTGCTGAGAGCAGTGAGCCTGATGCAGGGCTTGAACTCACGAACCGTGAGATCATGACCTGAGCTGAAGTCGGACACTCAAGTGACTGAGCCACCCAGGCGTCCCTGGCTCATTTTAAAAATTTCTGATGTTTCCCAATATTACTCTAGTTTTTATTAATATGCATTATTTTTAGAGCAGTTTTACGTTTATGGAAAATTGAGGTGATAGTACAGACTTCCCATATTCCTGGTATCCCTGCACAGTTTCCCTGACTGTTAACATCTTTAGTGTGGTATGTTTGTTATAATTGATGAACCCATGTTGACACGTTATTAACTAAAGTCTACAGTTTACATTAGAGTTTATCCTTTGTGTTGTACATAATATGGGTCTTGACTCTTGACAAGTACATAATGTCACATGTGTCAGTCATTCCGGTACCATACAGAATAGTTGTGCTGCATGAAAAATCCCCTGTGATCTATCTGTTCCTCCCTCCCTCCCTCCCTCCTCCAAGTCCCTGTCAACCACTACTTTACTGTCTCTATGTTTTGCCTTTCCCAGAATGCCATAAAGTTGGAATTATGCAGTGTGCCTTTTTCAGACTGTTTCACTTAGCAATATGCATTTAAGATTCCTCCATGTCTTAAGCTTGATGAAACTTGATAGCTCAGTTTTTTTTTATTGCTGAATAATATCCCATTGTATGGGTGCACCATAGTTTCTTTATCCATTTACCTATTGAAAGACATCTGAGTTGATTTCAGTTCTGAGAAATTACAAATAAACTTGCTATAAACCATGTGCCTGTTTTTCTGTGGACTTAAGTTTTCAGCACATTTGGGTATATACCTGGGAGGGTGATTGCTTGGACCATATGCTAGGACTATATTTAACTTTGCAATAAACTGTCAAACTCTACCAAAGTGACTGTACCATTGAATGAGAGTTCTGGTTCCTCCTGCTGTCAGTATTTTGGATTTTAGCCATTCTAATACATATGTAATGCTATTGTTTTAATTTGCAATTCCCTAATGGCATACGATTTCACAGAAAGCATCTTTTCTTTTTTTATTTTCTTTTTTTAATTTGAGAGCACAAGTGAGTGAGGGGGCAGAGAGAGAGAAAGAATCCTAGGAGGGGCAGACAGAGACAGACAGAGGGAAGCAAAGCTCACCATTAGAGGCACACAAGCTCAACTGATGTGGGAACTGAACTCAGAAATCGTGAGATCATGACCTCAGCTGAAGTCAGATGCGTAACGACTGAGCGACCCAGGTGCCCAAGCATATTTTCTTGTGCTTATTGGCTGTCTGTGGAGGTGTCCCAATCTTTTGCCCTTTTTAAAAAGAATGGTGGGCAGAATTCTAAGCCCCCAAGATTTTTCTGTTGTAATTCATGAGACTGAATGGATTTTTTCTCCAGAACCTCCAGAGAAGAACTCAGCCTAGCCAGCACCTCATCCTAGTAGGAGCAGAAAACTTAGCCATGTTGTGCTAGAACTCTGACCTCAGAACTGTGAACTAATACATGGATGTTTTGGTAATTGTGATTTCTTACACAGCAATAGAAAACTATTACACAAGGTTGAACCTTTGGCAGTGGCTCCCTCGCAAAGACTTCTCTTTGGGATGAGGCCAAACAAGGTGATAGCCATGGCTAAAGGCTTTCCCACTTTCGTTGTACTTCTAAGGCCCTCAGTGTGAACTTTCTGGTGTGGAATAAGGTTGGAGCTGCAGCTGAAGGCTTTCCCACACTGGTTGGGCTAAAGAGGATATTCTGTGGTAGGAAAACTTAACATGTAGAACAAATTTGGGGCTTTGGGGTAAAGGTTTTCTACATTCATTGCATTTACAAGTCGTTTTGGGGTGATAAATTTCTCAGTACTGAATGAGGTTGGAGCTATATCTGAAGGCTTTCCTGTAATTTCTGCTATTAAAAAAGTTTAGAGATGCAACTAAGCTCTCACGCATGTGCTGCGCATAGGTCAACAAGCTGGAGACAGGCTGAGATTGGTGGGATCAGTTGGATACCTGTGAAAGAGCTGCCCCCCCCCAAACTCTACCCTATGAAGCCTTCAGGTAATACCTATTGGGGCTACTCAGGGGGCTGCTCAAAGAAATGCAGGGAGAGTACACCTGGCCCAGTCACAGCACCCACAACACCCACCATAGGGAACCTGGGAAAGAAGCAGCCCTCTGGTCCAGCTTTGGGATAGACAGAACTTCCCATGGGAAAAGGCAGAGGGTGATCATATACTTCAGGAGGGCATAAGGGACTTACCCGGTGAGCCGACGAGCTCAAAGTTCAACATCACATCATGGCGATTACATGGGGTTACATTAAGGAGCCTCCACTTCTTCTGGGAGAAATACAGGGCCATATCCTCACATGTCACCATACCCTGCAGTGGTGGGTTCAACTGATCCTAGGGGTTGATGACTAGGCAGAAAAAACAACCAAAATATGGACAAAGGGACACACCCAGCCAGGCCTTTGACATGGAAGGGTAATATATCTCTCACTGACATCCTATTTCCCCAGAGGCCCAAACCACCCCCCCCAAACACATCCTGATGCTCCCCCTTTCCCCAGAACTCTACCTCAGAGAGAATACCAAGGTCACAACACCATTGATGCTGTTCTCCTCATGTTACTATTGGACTCTGTATCCAGCCCACAGCAACAACAGGATGGATGCCATCTATGTTCTGGTCCAGCCACACAGGCCTCACCCTTTCTCCTCCCAGCCCATTCCCTCTGTGTCCTTCAGATCACACCTCTCAGATGCAACCAAACCTACACACGCCATTCTCCCTTAGGTCGAGATACTTGCTCCCAAGGCCCTTCAGTCTGCCCTCCCCCCATCAGGAACATAACATACTTGGCATGCTCATAATTCCACACCCCTAGCACAACCTCACCAGCTCACCCCATTGGCAACTCCCTGGCCTCCCCACAGGCCACTCTCCATGTGGCGTCCTGAGAGTCTGTGGCATAGCAACCACAATCCTATCCTGCCTCAGGCCTGTCTGCGCCTGCACCTCCAATGGCCCACTGCCACAGGAATCCCCCACCCCTGCATTAACGACTCCCCACCAGGCCCTGCTCCTAGCTTCAATATTCAGCCACTCAGAAGTACAACTGGATCTCTGAGATCCCGGACTTCCTTCAACTCTGCCTTTGCACAAGCTGTCCTTTCACTTGCCGTGACCCTCCTCTCCCCTCCTAAGGCACATTCAGAGTCCAGCCCACTGGGCCTGGGACCCTGTCTCTCAGGTGACCCCCATCTGCCACCGAGTGCCTCTGCAACTCTGAATGAAGAGCCTCAGGCCCCAAAGGGGGCAGACATAAAAGCCTAGCGATCCCACAGAATCAGCCCAATCCTGGGCCCACTTACCACCAACATCCATCACTGTCATGCCACAGGCTCCACCCCAGGTCCACTTGTCTCTCAGGTGCCTTGGCCCCCTGCCACTCCCCCTCTTTATTCCCCTGCTAACATTGGCCCAGCCTTCACAGTGACTTAATGACACCTACCATCACCTTCCAACTGCATAGTCAGGACATCTGGTCCTTGGTTCTCAGCCTCCCCTTCTCCAACCTGTAGGGGTATTCTTTACCATCCTTCACCCATCCCACATTGTTCCTAGTTCCACTCTCTAGCCCCACCCTTTGGATGTTCCCTACCCTGATCCTGCAGAATTCCAGAGTTGCGTATCCGGGAGCCTACGCAGCGCCCCCATTCAAGAGTACTTGGGTATATCATGCTTAAAATCTCCAAAACCACACTCCAGATCTTGTCCCTGGAAACTGCTCTAGACATCAACTTCCACATCTGTTGATATATCTTCCATCCATCAAACCACTGAGTCCAAACACCTAGGCTAGCCCTTGATAGCTCAGTGTCTTTCACTGCCTCACATCAGGCAGTTGGGCTGGTCCTACACAAATAACAGATCCAGAGTACAAGCATATCTGCCATCTCCACTGCCACCACCCTGGTGCAGCCACCTGTCACCAGCAGCCTCTTCGTGGGCCTTCTTCAAGTACAGTCTGTTCTCCCCACTAGCCAGAGAGAGCCTCCCAACACCTGAGTCAGATCATCTTCCTCCTCTGCTCTAGATCTCCCATGGCGCCCAGCATCCTCAGAACAGAGGTCTAGAGCCATTCTCCGCCTGACTCCTGTCCCTGCTCACTGTTCTCAAAAGACCTAAGTGGGGCCTGTGGTTCTCTTAACATTCCCTGCTCATCCTCACTGCCAAGAATTTGCTGGTCTCTGTGTCTTTAACACTTTCTATATCACATCCTACTGACTGACAGAAATGGGAACTCTCCTGCATAACCGCTGAATTATGGGCCAGATGGGACTCCCAAAGCCCAAGTAATTAAGGGCAGAGAGGCAAATGCGGCGAGGAGGAAAAGTCTCAGGATACCAACATCCCAGATATCGGGGTCTGAGTTAGCGAAGGCCAAGGGAGCACCCTCAACTCACCTGAGCCGGTCTGTCATCACCGCCAACGCCTCGGGACCCTGGGGGCGGAGCTGCACACTGAAAGGCTGATACCCCGGTGGGTCCCGCGGGTCGGCAGACCCGACCCCAGCCCTGCCAAAGGATGGATGACCTCAGGCTGACCGTGGCAGTCTGGGCCTCAATCCTCACCCCTTCCTGCGTAAAATGCCTACAGGGCCCTGGGTGCCGCTAGCCGGGGCAGCGGGGACGAGGACAGGGTGAGGAGGCTCGGGAGAGCGCGCGGCCTGGGCGGATATCTCCGTGACAGTCAGCCCATCCCATAGTCGGGACAACGAGTCTCAGGGAGACGGAGCCAATACTGGAGGCTCACGGCTCGGCAAAGATACGACAACGGACGCTGCCCTCACCCAGCCTGTAGAGCACCGACAGGACTCAGCCAGCCGGGAGCAGAGAGCCCCGCCGCGCGAACTACGCTACCCAGAAGACACTGCGACGACCTCTCGGCCCTGACCAATGAAGACCCAGGAGAGGGCGTTTCGGGGAGGGCTTCTGGGGCGGGACTTCCTCCGCCCGCCTCCGACGGTTGTTTGTCTAGAGTTCCACTTCCGACAGCCTCTGGCTTAGGGATCGGGTAGCAGCACCGGGACGGCGTCTGTTAGGCTCCCTGAAAGGGCAGAATCAGGAACAGGGACAGCACGAGAGTGTAGGGGTGGGGGTGGGGGGTGTCCCACCACGCCATGAACGCGCCTTTACCGCGACGAATGTCCCGCCTCCTCGATCCCCGGCGTCCCCAGCCATAGTGGGACCGCCCGGGGGCTGTGCAGCCGCTCAGAGAGGGGGCGTCCTCCGCGGCCACAGCAGAAGCCGGCACGTGCCCGCGGCCGCCCCCGAGTCGTTCCCCGTGGCGTGGAGCAGCTAAGGACTAATGCCTGGGGGACCTCTGCAAGAGGAAAAGGAGGTGTGGGGAGGAAGACTGACAGTTGGATGTAGGCAGAGATGCAGATGGCGCACCGCCCGGGCCTTCCTACTGCTCAGTATGTGCCCTTATCGGGCAGCTAAGGCCTCAACAATCCCTATGCAGAACATCCCGAGAGTGGACGCGGAAAACTCGCCCTCTCAGTGCGTGGCTTATGGAAAGTCCTTGGAGAAGAAGCAACTCTCTTTTACTACTGAAGAGATCACGGAGCAAAATCTTGTGTGCATAAGGAGTTTCGGAGGGCCTTGGTCATATCTCCCACCTCTGAAGTCTACTGGAGCAAGTTCATATCAGAGAATTTTACATGCGCAACCATTGGGGAAAGACTTAAGTAAAAAATGCCCCACATATGTTTATTGTCCGTTTTACAGAGAAAAGAACAAACGTCTGGCATCTCTGGCACCATGCAAGGCATTGAGGTTGATGCCCCCTCTCTGGGTAGTCAGAGGCACCAGGACCTAGAAGAAGGAGCAAGCCTGGGGCTGGTGAGGGGTGGTTATGCAGCAGGGATGCAGGGGGCAGAGAGAGGGCTGGGAGAGCACAGCTCTGGGTGGCCACATAGGCTGGTAGGCAAGGATGGGGAGGAGTCACCCAGTGTGGTTTGGGGCAGCTCCTTTTGTTTGTGGGCAGCAGGTGGGCAGGCATCAAAGTAGCAATTAGTGGACAGGAATGCTCAGGACCCCTGGGATCTGTCATCAGCCTCATTTAAAGGAAAGAAAGACTGAGGCTTCAGGTTTCCATTTGTGAGAGTGGAGAAGCACTCTCTTACTCTCCCTAGCCCCTAAGAGGAAGCTAGTTAGGACAGGGGGGAGGGGCCAGCCCTGCCCACTGCCCTCAGTCACCACCTTCCTGTTCCAGGTCCCTTTACCTCGATGCCAGCTGTTTTGAAGATACATTTCTAAGGTCTCCTTCCAAGCAGACAGCATTGTCTCTCCCCCTTCTGTGCACCACCAGCTAAGGGCCCCTTTCTGACACCCCCAGCTGGGCCCAACTCCTGACCCTCTCCACTTTCCCAGCCTGGGGTGGAGGAGGGAAGGAATGAGAAGAGGGATATCTGAGACCCTATGCTAAGCTGAATAATGTCCCCCAAAGATAGCCACATCCTAATCCCCAGAATCTGTGAATCCGTTACCTTACATGGCAAAATGGACTTTGCAGATGCGGATGTTGAGCTGAGGAAATTGGGATTATCTGGGTGGGTTCAATGCAATCACAGTGTCCTTATAAGTGAAAGAGGGAGGCAGATCAGAGAGAGATCTGAAGCTGCTAGGCTGCTGCCTTTGAAGATAGAGCGTGCTGGTTCAGTCAGTAGAGCACAGGGCTCTTGATTTTGGGTTTGTGATTTTAAGCCCCACGTGAGACGTAGTTACTTAAAAAATAAAATAAAATAAAATATGAAGATAGAGGAAGAAGCCAAGGAATGCAGCTCAAGAAGATGGAAAAGCTAAGGACATTCTCTCTTGGAGCCTCCAGAGAAGTTAGCCCTGAGGACACTTGATTTTATCCAGGCAAAATTGATTTCAAGACTCCAGGCCTGCAGAACTATAAGATACTTAATGTGTGTTGTTCTAAGGAACTCAGTTGGTAGTAATTTGTTGCAGCAGTCAGAGAAAACTAATACAGACCACCAACCTGTTCTTGCCTGACCAAGTCCCCCCCTTCCCTGAGTGGGCTGGGCTATGACTGCCCAGTGACCCAGCACACTGCCCCCAGCCCCTGTGGGTGACGTTGACACCTGGGTGTGCAACAAGAACTGGTCTGGAAGACACTCCCTTCAATGTCCTGATGTTCCCCCTCTGGCTTTCCACCTGGAAGGAGCAGCTTGTATCAAAAGGAGCTCTGCCGACACGACTAGATCGGGGTGACTGGGAGACAGTTGGGCCTGGAGTGCCCATAGGCATTCCTGGGCTGCCTCTTTGTCACCTGCAATGCTGTCACTCCCCAGAATACTATTTGGCTCCCCTCTGTATGCCAGGCACTGAGGACACAGATGTAAACAAGTCAAACAGGAGCCTCCAGCCCCATAGCAGTCATTTTGCTCTCTGGAAAATGCTGGATTCCCACCCACAAAACACAGAACCCCAACCCTGGGCAAAGTGAGACAGGATGTGGGCTCCAGGACCTGGGGGGAACAGAAGGCCCATGTTCAGTTTGTGTAGCGGGCGGCTGCCACCTACCCTGCAGTGACATTAGCAGGGAAGGCTTCTGAGAGGAGGAGGACAGGAACCCTGCAGGCTGCCATCCACAGGGAGGGCTGAAGCTTCACCTAGGGGAATGGCAAGGATGCCAAAAAAGGTTGATAGAGCCCTGGAGGAAGAGGTGCAATAACTGAGTGCAGATGGGGGTGATGGAGGTTCTAGAACCTAAGGTGGCCAGGATACCTGTCAGCAGGCCAGGGAGATCCAGGAACACCCACCCCCAAAATCATGTGACATTGACCTAGAGGGCAACCTTAGCCTCTTTAAGCCTAGGTGACCAGAGCTGCCCCTACAGCATTTCAGGAGGGTCCCAGAAGCCATGACCCATTGGAGTTGTGGAGGCTCCCATTGCAAACTGGTACTCAGGACCAAATGGGAGCTAGTCTTTGAGGCTCAGGGTCTATCTGTCCCTCCTAAATCCTGGCCAGGCCACTGCTGCCCCTCCAAGCTCAAGTCCCAGCTATGTCTACGGAGAGGCAACAAAGGACCAGCATGGAAACAGCTGGATGCCACCCAGACCCAGCCTGTAAGCAGCAGAGTGGAAAACTCCACAGCCTCCGTAGGGATTGGTGGGGAAGGGAGGAGGGGGGGAGGGAGGAGGGGGGGGAGGGGGAGGACTACAATGGGCTGGGCCAGACCATGGCCAGAGACTAACAGCAGCAGCAGCTTTGCCTCCAAAGATGGGGGGCCCCAGCAACCTCCAGTGAGTCCCAAGGGTGGGTAAATCAGAGCCTTCAGCCCCAGCTGCTTGCTGAGGGTGCTCCCCCAGGGGACTGATGACTGGGGGTACACTTAGTCGAGCCCTGTGATCAGGGCTGATGGTGTCCCTAGCAGGGTACCTGCACCATTCTGGTCAGAGGGGCTCTCCAGGTGGACTGCCACGAGGGATGAGGATCAAGGGTACTTCCCACTGGATCCTAATGGAGACCAGACTTTGGAGTGGCTCCCAGCAGGACCTTTATAAAGATGGGGATCTTTATAAGCCTCAGCTGCTGGATGTCCACAGGGATTGGGGTCATGGGTGCTCTCTGAGGGCCCCTTGTGGGAATGAAGGTAGGGGGTAGTCCTTGAGAGGGTCCCTCCTTTGTGGTGATGATGTCTGGAATGATCCCACCAGGCCTCCTTCTGGAGAAGTGGGCGATCGGTAAGGGATGCACCTTACCAAGGCCTCCACGAGAATCATGGCAAGGGGTCCTGGCAGGGCCCCACCAGAGTGACACGGAGGTCCCCAGGCCTGAGGATAGGACCCAGAGCACAGATGCGTTTACTGCGGCCCCCACACCCTCCTCGCGCCCCGTCCCCGCGGGGCCCAGCCGGGCCCAGCTCCTGCCCTCCACGTGCGGCTCGGGGCCCTGGCCGGCATCCCCTCGCCCTCCGCCGTGTCCTCGGAGCCCCCTTCGGGCTGCGGCGCGTCCTCCGCAGCCCCCGGCAGGGCAGTGTCCAGGTCACGGCCCCTGGGGTGCGGCGTCCAGGCGGGGGTCCAGGGCGCCCCGGGCGCGGGCCGCGGCGGGAACCAAGAGAAGCCAGGCGCGGGGGCGAGCGCCACCAGCTGGGGCCGCGCGGGGCCGGAGGAGGCGGCGTGCGGGATGAGGAAGAAGATGTAGACGCCCGACACCACCAGGCCCGCGGCCACCAGCACGGCCAGCGCCACGGCCGCGTTGAAGGCCCAGGCCGGGCTGCTCAGAGAGAGGCGGCGGGACAGCGGGCGGCCGAGGCGCAGCGGCGGCGGCAGCGGCGGCGGGCGGGCGGCGCGGGACTGA